CTCCCCTTTTTCTCCTCTTAGAAATTACACTTGCAAGGTCATTTGCTGCTGGCCTGAGTCAGAAAGCAGGCTCTTTAACTTTTCTTTCCCGTGAAAACAGGTGTTAGGGTGTGGTTTGTGCCTAATCTGTGCAGGGATCTCCTTCAATATGCTTATAAGCTTGTCTGTCAGTGATGGGCATAAATAGACAGTAAAATAATTTGCTGAAGAATGAGGTCACAAGTAAAGTCAGAATAGCCTCAGAGAGGTATAGAATCAACCCTGAGATTAGGCTGCAGCAGTAAGCAAAGGGAGGTTCAGGAGAGCCATCAGTGAGAAAACTCCACGGATAAGCACACTTCCCTATGAAGGAAAAAGACAACGCAAAAATGTCTCAAAGCTGTATGTCAACCAGCCAAGACAGCAGGGCTGTAAGCTGATTCACATTCACCTATTTACTCCTGCAAAGCTTGGCTTACAACTTAGAACAACTGAAAAAAAAAAAAAAAAAAAAAAGAGCACACATCTTACTTTACTTGATTCATAAACTGGGTAAGTCTCACCTGTCATAGGGTCAAACAGCTGATTAGCTTCCAGGTCAGTGAAAGTACTGCAACAGACAGGACATTTGAAGGAGGCCCGATTGGTGGAATTTCTCTCATCCGTTTCAATCCTCCTCCTCATGTGGTCCAGTTTGTACTTTACTACGTTAACGAGAGTGCGGTAATTGATGAAGTAGTAGTTATGGCGCGTGGTTTTCCCATCTGCAGCAGTCTCTACCCTCATTCTGCATTTGATGAACTTGTCTCCCTTTAAATTATTCAAAACAGATCGAAGTTGCTTCCGATCAAACTTGAGCAGCTCCAGCATGTCCTCTTCCTTTACACAGGGGTTGCGGATCAAGATGTCTAAGGCCAACACGTGCTCAATGCCGTAAAAGCCCCGGATTACATACTTGGCTAGCCGCTTCAATGCTGCTGGAACCTCAGTGAGGACATCTGGGTCTGCCATCTTCAACAGCAAGCTTCAACTTCAACTCTATGGATGGAGGTGGAGATAAGTAGGCATGAGGACACAATAATCATTATAATCTACAACCACCTCATTATTCTTAAAGTGCCACAAAAGCATTCAGCCATTGCTTTAAAAGAGTTCTAACACTTAAGTACTTAATAGAAAGCCAGGGTTTTCCTCTATAATACACAAAATATCACCCCTAAAAAGTTGACATAATCCTTAGTTACTTTTATGATCAACAGTGTGCCGGATTCCCCCAAAAAACTATTATTTCTGACAATGATATATTACATCAACTCCACTTTATTTCACAAAGAGAAACAAAAAACCCTCTGAGAGTGCTCACTATTGTTAATGGCATGCTCGGAGATTCCTAGCAATTACCCTAAACTTCATTTCTTCTCAGTAAAACTTTCCTGCAAAGACTCAAGAATGTTTCACACAGTCACACTTTCACAATGAAATCACAAAACAATAAACACATAAGTAACTGCCTGCTGGGATGACAAAATTAAGGACTGTCATAACCGAAGGAAATTAATGCTAAGCTCCAAAGTGCTTTACCAACTTTGAAAGTCAAATCTGATTATTAAGTAAACACCTTCTAGGTCTTAAAAAATAGGAGGGTAAAAAGATGTCCTTTAATACTCAGTCCCTTGAAGAACAAAGCAGATGCTGACAGTATCTAACTTCTGGGCCACAGCCCAGAGCGGTCCTCTCCAAGTCTCTGACATACATGTTACAGCACTTGGGCTGTGGACTCACGTCACAGGCTGCATTTTGGTTGCTGTATGCACTCAAAGCCTTACACATCTCAAGCTCTCAGAAGGAAAAATGGGGCACTGCAATTAATAAAAACATTAAGTAATACCTAAGAGGACTTATTAACTGGGGCTGTTTTCACATAACTTTAATATGACCAAACTGAAACTAGCCAGCTATCCCTGGAATTTCTGTATGATACAGAAAAAAAACTTTAACAGACATCCTGCTGAACTATTTCTATGAGCCAGTTATTAATGCCAGTTTTCAACTGCACCTTTAATCTGAACTCTGAAGTAACCAATCCTACCAGATGTAATACTTCTTTCTGTAAGAAATAATATCTGCAATATTATACTATAAAGTCCTAAATAACCAATGTACATACTTTTTATGGGCCATATCTATAACATTGGAAAAATAAAAAGAAAGTTAGTTACAATATATATTTTAAACCACCGAACTCAGTCATAACCGTACACACGTGCAGATAACAAAAGTAGCACCTGGACTCACTAGGTGTAAACCCACAGTCCTGGCGCCTCTCTCTGTCACCCTAGATATTTTAGAATATCTGGGTTCATTACCAAATCAGAGTCATAGCACAGTATCAGATACATTTTGATCTCCTTCCAAATTTGTCTACACAGTGTACTTAAAACCATATTTTGCTTTTTGTTTTACATGCCCAGTAGCTGACAGAATAGAACATATGGCTTCAGAAACATCCAAAAGACCAAAGGCCAGATGAATGTCAGCATGGCCCATCATTTTCTGTATCACCTTTTATTACTTTACTCTCCTCTGTTCCTGCCCTCGCACACTCTTAAGATTCAGACCATTGGTTCTCAACTCTACTGCAAAGCAGAATCATCTAGACAGTATTGTAAGCATACTAAGTAACCCTAGGCCTATTTCCAGATTAGGAATGTCTCTAATGTTAAAAATCCCTTTAGATTACTCTAATATGCAACAAAGTTCCTTGCTAATCACTCCAATCTGTCCCATGGCAATTTGCATCCTGCAAATGAACATCCTGTATGGAGAGATCACTGTATGACTTGCTGTTCAGCCTGTTTCCATTGTCAGATATACCTCCAGGGGTCTTGAAGACCAGTGCAAAAGAGGGACATCAAGACTTTTATAGTCAATAGTTTAGGCTTGGAAATTCCAGGTCAATTTCTTAATGTAGGCCCCAGAAACCCACAGCCTCGGTTTCTTCACATACAAAATTAAAGTGCCTTTCTCACACAATTAATGTATGAATTAAATCAGATAATTAACATAACATGCTCTGCTTCAGTGTTAGTATATAAGTTCAAATGAACTATTGGCATTCAGAACAAAATCCCCCATCTAACTGATCCTTACGTCAGCGAGCTGATGACATGAAGTGATACTGTGGTTCTATCAGGAGCTGGAGTAGTAAATCCTAAACTTAGGAAGAAAGGGAAGAACTGCAAGGACAAGATAACAGAAATGTAATACAGGAACGAAACAAAATCAAAAGGACCCAACAATAGACGAGGAGGGGAAAATCCTAAGTAGCTGTTTTAAGCCACTGTAAGGAGAGAAAGTGCATGCTAACACCCCTTTCAGAACCCTGTCATTGATGAAATACCATGCTAGTTCTTTGAAGATACACACAAGGTGGCTGAACTAATGAAATTGGAACTCAGGTGGGCTACCTAGTTCAAAAATCCCAAATTTTAAATCCCCCTTCCTGACCAGGGCCTTTGCTCCTTCACCACTTAGTCCCCCAATCAGGATGAATCAAGATTACTCAGCCTCTGGGTGTAAGCTACTTAGGTCAAGTTCTGAAACTGGAAGCCCATACGAGATGCTTTGAACATTTTATGAATCCGCTGCCAACAATGAAAAATCTTGAGTGCATATAAATTTCATTGTCCCACTCCTCTTGAAAACTGGAAGTTAAGTGAAAAGTGAGTCCACATTCCTACATCTGCTAGTTCCTATAGCAGTTGAGACTTAAGAACATAACTTCTCTGGTCTATGGTGCCTTCTTGGTGTAATAGCTACCGGTCTTCATCTCATTCTCTCGTCATAGTAAGGGGGCATCTCCCAACTTCACCCTACCCAGTCGAGACCTATAGTCTAACTGTACAAACAATTAAGGACTACGGTGCCCCAGGTATAGAGCTGGGAGAAACAAAGTAGAAATCACTCTGCTTTTGCCATAGTTGGCCTCATGTCCACACACCGTTTCCCCCAGCCCTCAAAGCCAAGTCCAAACCTTTCTCCTGATGTCCTTAGGCTTTAGGTGATGTTTTCCTGGCCTTCCTAAATTCCCAACAGTAGCATCTAATGCTCTCCTCCACAATGCCTCAGAATTTGTACAGTTTCTACCTGCAGAAACTTCACCTCGTTCACCAGGGCTAGCACCTAGCATAAGTAGCATAAGCCACTCAAGTCCTCAAACCAAACTTTCAATACATCTTCTGGACACGTGTTCTTGTACCATATCCATCCTGCCAGCTTCCACAGAATTAATTCACTTGTTCCATACCTGCATCCACAACAATAACACACACAAGCCATCCTTTTCTTTTTAAACTTGTAACTCCTTTAAGCAAGGAGTTACGAAATTAAATGTGTGATTTGTATAAGGATGAAGAGCGGAGGATAAAAGAACTAAGTGGGTGCAGGATACCCAAGACTATTTCAAAGTACTACTTGGCGAGTTCTAGGAGAACGTGTTACTGTACTTCACGAACTCTCTATCCCTTCGTACTGTAAGGGGCCCACGACGGAGCAAGCTCCGGACCCAGGTGCCCTCCACCAGCTGTGCCCAGGAGTGTGCAGACCCCTAGACCCCACAGTCCCTCAGGCGCTCCCAGGGGTCTCCCGGACCACGGTCGACGCCGCCGAGCCCGTCCTACCCGAGGTCGCACAAGGGCCGCTCCCGGGTAATGATTCTTTGGAAGACTTAAGAAGAGCACCAAGGAGAGAGGGTGGTCGAGGAGAGGGGACTAGAGAAGGTGGGGGCGGACAGAAGAAACCATGTAATACCACGCAAGTCAGAAACCGGGAACAAGGATCAGAGAATAAGATTTACCCACGCGGATGCTCGAACACTCCCACTACAGCCGCCCTCAGCACATCAACTACCGGCTTCAGCCAGCCCACGCCACTGGCGACACAAGGACAAACGCCTATTTCCTGCGACCAGTTTGGAAACCATCCGCTAATCCGCACGGCGAAGCTTTCAATCAAGTCAGTCATGCTCTGGCCGACCAATGAGGTGGTAGGCCCTGCCCTCAAACCCTGCTCTGATTGGCTGAGAATCCAGGAACGGGCGTTAACCTCCAGGAAATCGTGGCAAGATGGCGTCCCTGGATCGGGTGAAGGTTCTGGTGTTGGGAGACTCAGGTGAGCCGCTTAACCCACGCCTGGAACTCCCGACACGCTCTAGCTACCCGATACCCCTCACTCTTCGCTGTTTAACCACCAGCTTCCTAGCGTTTGGGTCCCTGGCCGGAGTCCTTTCCAAGACCTTAAAACTACACTTCCCAGAGGACTTTGCTCTAGACGACGTGGTGGCGTGGCGGGAGGTGGGGGTCGCGGAGCCCGGGGCTTTCTCTGCCTTTGCTTTTCATTACCCTGGTCTCCCAAACGAGAGTGTATTGTCAGTTTCTGTATCGCTCTTGTTAGGCAGACAGAAGTTGGTAAAACCGCGCCTTCAGAAAACTTTGTTCATTAAGTAAAATATATACTAAGAATACACTGAGACGTATCAGCGTCTTTAATTCTAAAATCAGACCTGTAACTCCATTCTACAGATGATAAAAGTGAGGCAAACTGGTGCGAACCCAGTATGTAAGCTGTAGCTTGCAATGTGATATTAGATGGTAATCATTAGATTTCCTTCTTCCTTATTCTCATCTAATAGTTGAATTCCTATTAGACTTTGAGATGTACGAAACAAATTTGATAAGCACCGCACTCTGAAGCAGCCCAATGCTAAGCACAGTTTAATTTAGGGTCAAATCTTTTTTATACCTTGAACATTTTATAATTACTATTGAACCCTTCATTTCCCTCTTCTGCCTCATTATCCTACTCTTTCCCATTTCCAGTTCTCAAGAACTTGAATGTTCCCTAGCCATGCATTTTATAGATGCGCATTTCTGGAGATGACCATTTGTGCTCTAAACAGACATTTGCTGGATGCTTGGTAAAGAGGACATATGCACCAAATAGACAACCTATTCAATTCCAAGACTGAAGCCAGTCTCCCCTCTCCCCAAAAAGAACTTTTTTGACATTTCTCCTTTTTATAAGTTTTTAAATTTATTTTTGAAATTATAATTAATTAGAATGTTTCTCCCTACCTTTTCTTTCCTCTAAACCTTTAAATTTACCTCTCCCACTTTTCTTCAAATTCGTGGCATCTTTTTTTAATTAATTGTTGTTTCGTGCATATCTATACTTGCATATACATGTATATTGCTAAATATAACCTGTTAAGTCCATATAATGCTACTTGTTTTCAGGACTGATTGTTTGACACTGGACAGGCAGCTAGTATGTTTTTCTCTGTCCCATTCCCAGTTTTACTCTGTTGTCTGTAGTTTTTGGTGTAGGCTTAAGCCTCATGGGGTTTTTTTCCCCCTGTCCACTGTGGTGTGTCCATTGGTGTCATCCTTGTCCAGCTCATGTTTGGGCATGCTGGTGAGATTTCATGGGTGTGGCTTCTGATATTACTAGGAGACACACTCTCAGAGCAAACTCCCTGGTCCTCTGCTCTTAACAGTCTTTCCACCCCTTCTTCTGTAATGTCCCCTCAACAGTATTATGGTGTGGGAGTGTTTTGTAGATGTAGCCACTAGGACCGGGCCCCACAGCTCTGCATTTTGATTGGTATGGCTTTCTATAGTGGTTTCTGTCTCTTACAACGTGAAGTTTTCTTGATGAAGGGTGAGGACTACATTTATCTGTGGGTGAAAGGACATCTGTTTATAGATTGGTATTAACGTTTCAAAGTTCTTACAGAAGTGAATAGTTAGCACTTCCTCTTCCCTAGGATGTCACCTCATCACATTGCTGAGAGCTTCATTTCCTTTTGTCTAACATACCCCAAGCATTTAGTTCATGGAGAAATAAATAACTACATAATATTAACACACAGAAATGCTTATCCTGGTTTAGTTACGCCAACTTTGGGCTCAAAGCTTATATCAAACTGATAATTAAAGCCTTAGATATACCTCTCTTATAGTCTATATGTAAAAGAATATAATGGAAACCTGAGAAAATGTTTGCTTCAATTACACAAGATGTTTAATTTCTTTAAATATGCGAAGAGATCATACAGGGCTGTGATAATTCTCCACAGGAGAGCACTTGCCAAACATGTGCAAGAATGTATATTCAGTATTCAGTATTCAATATTCAGCTCACAGGATGACACAAAAGGTCATATAATTTAATAATGCTAAAACCCATTATCAGTTAAATAGGCAGAGACCATTAGTAGAAAATTCATAAGAATGAGAAAAATTGATTTGCAAACATGATCATAATGTATATCATTGTGGCTTTTTAATTACTTTCTACATAGCTGAGAACTGAACCCAAGTTTCGTCTTCAGAAGCAACAAATGCTCTTAATGGCTAAAACATCTCTCCAGGCCTTCCATCTTGCATTGTTGTTGTTGCTGTTGTTGTTTGGGCCATAGAGTTGTTTGAGACGTGGTCTCACTATATAGCCCTGGCTAGTGTAGAACCAGGCTGGTGTAAAATTCAGATGTATCTGTTCCCAAACTTCTTTTTAAGGTGAAGTCTCCCCTTGTCCTGGAGCTCCTGAGCTTAGGCTACCGGGCTAGCAAACATGAGGGATTGTCTGTCTTTGCCTCCTCAGCACCGGCGTTACAAGCATGCACCTCTGTGTTGTGTGTCAGTTTTGTGGATGCAACTCCGGTTCTCATGCTTGTAGGGCAAGCACTGAGCCTCAGCCAGTTTTTACTGTTTTTAAGATCACAACAACAACATGTTCATAGAAACCCCCATATGGCTGGCAGTAGTGATCTAAGGTGATTTTTCCTGTTTATACTTTCTCAGTTGTTGGAAATACAGCTTTCCTAATAAAAAGTAACATGAGTTGTAGGTCCATATGTAATATTGCACACAGAGAGATTTCCTGAATTTTTTGATAGAATTCGCAATTCATAGCCAGTTAAATGAATGAGTGACTCCAAACCAGGATGTGAATAGACGGTTCATCCCTTTCCTCTCCACCTAGCCCATCAAGAAGTGCCTTTTAGTGTTAGTGACAAGATTGCCTGAGCACAAGAGATCTAGAAAGAGATAAAGTAGTGCTGCAGAATAAAAGGCCATGATGAAGAAAAGAGAATAGGATTATTATTATCATCCAGAGGATAAATCTGGGGCAGAGTGGTTAGCTGCTTTTTAAAAACCTACGTGTGAGAACTAAAGTCCTTTGAGTATGGAATCATGAGGCCTGTCACTGACGGAATTCAAACAATTTTGTGAGATATTCCTGGCTTACAGGCAGTAGTATGGATCTACGTGTTTCTCTGACCAGAGACCTTGTATCTTCCACAGGTGTTGGGAAATCTTCACTCGTCCATCTTCTTTGCCATAATCAAGTGCTAGGAAATCCATCATGGACAGTGGGCTGCTCAGTGGATATCAGAGTATGTGTTCTTGTTTTAGTTTTTTTATTACTTAAATTATTTATTTATTGGCTTGCTTTTTCAAAATGGGTTTCTCTGTGTAGCTTCGAGCCTGTCCTGGAACTTGCTTTGTAGACCAGGCTGGCCTTGAACTCACAGAGAATCCTCTGCCTCTGCCTCCCAAGTGCTGGGATTAAAGGCGTGTACCACCCCCACGGCCTTCAAATCACATGATTAAATTACAAGAATTAATTAAAAGAAGTAATGATAATAACTGTGATTGATTTAGCTTCTACTGTGTGTCAAGACTTTATTGTCGTTTCTTATTTAGTCTTTAGTCATGGAAAATAAAAAAAAAAAAAAAGATTCCTTCAACACATGAAGCTAAATCAACACATGAACCCAGTTGTCTGATTGTACAGGCTTTAATTTTAATCTCTGTATTTTGAGAATTCAGTTAATATCCCCCATAAATAATTCTGCCTAAGCCTGTAGCTCTGAAGCCACAAACGTGTGCCCAGAAGTTCAGTGTAAAGGCAAAAGCTTCCAGAGTGTCCTGTAGATTGCCTGTTCTCTGTCACATTAGGTATTCAGTGCAGTTTTCCCTAAATTAAATGTCAGTGCCTAGTTCCAGGCAAGTCTGTCATCTGTTGGCACATCTTCTTACCATTGAATTAAGGACAAATATGGGGCCTGGTTAGAACAACTCAGCAGGTCAAGGCCCTTGCCATCAAGGCTAAGGACCTGAATTCTATCCCCACTAACTCAGATGGCAGAAGGAGAGAACTGACTCCAGCAATCTGTTGTCTGGCCTCAACATGTGCGCCCTGTCACACACCCCCCACAAACATGCGCACAGTAAATAAATAGACATAACAGAAAATGGGCACAAATAAGGAAGAAATGGTTATTAACAGCTATTTTCTTCTGTTCTTTGGGGCTATGGTATAGGTTCTGACATGGTTAAAATTTTCCTATTCAATTAATTATTCCCTGTTAAGGGAATCTATTTTCTCTAGCTGCTTTTTTTTTTTTTTTTTTTTTTTTTTTTTTGCCATTATTTTTTAATTGAGCTTTACATTTTTCCCACTCTCCTCCTCTCCTCTTCCACCCTCCCACTCTCCTGACACTCCCAATTTACTCAGGAGATCTTGTCTTTTTTCCCTTCATAGGTGTATGCATGTATGTCTCTCATAGGGTGTTTTTTGTTACCTAGCTTCTCCAGGGTTGTGGCCTGTATGCTAGTTTTCCTTTGCTTTATTTCTACTATCTACTTATGAAGGAGTACATAGTGTAAGGAGTAAGGTTTTCTCCTCCCGCCACTGGTCTGGTCCTGCTGCCACGCCAGCCCCAATTAACACACAGAGACTCTGTATTTGATATAATTCTGTTGGCCAGGTACTAGTTTCTTATTGGCTAGCTCTGTCTTAAGTATTAACCCATTTCTGCTGATCTATGTATTTTCACGTGGTCTTCTCTTACCGGGGAGCCGGCTGGCATTCTGCTTTCTCCAGACTCTCCATCTTGACTCCTCCTTACTACTTCCTCTTTCCTCCTCGTCTCCTAGTCCCTCCTATCTTCCTTTCCTATTGGCCAACAGTGCTTTATTCATTAAACAGTATGAGAAACATATATACAGAATGACATCGCCCATCAACATAGTATATTTGTCTTTCTGGGTCTGGGTTACCTCACTCAAAATGGCTTTTCCTAGTTCCATCCATTTGCCTGCAAATTTCAAGATGTCATTATTTTTTACAGCTGAGTAGTACTCCATTGTGTGAAAGCACCACATTTCCTTTATTCATTCTTCAGTTGAGAGGCATCTTTGTTGATTCCATGTTCTGGCTATTATGAATAATGTTGCTATGAACATAGTTGAGCAAATGTCCTTGTAGTGTGAGTGTGTATCCTTTGGGTATGTGCCCAACAATGAGGTTGCTGGGTCTTGAGGTAGACTTATTCCCAATTTTCTGAGAAGCCACGAGCTTCCACAGCATTCAGATGCTTTTTTAAGGACTCTTTTGGTCTAGTGTTTTGCAGTAATGCTAATCTAACCTACATCTTAGTCTACCTCAGTCACATTCATTATCCTATTCAGAAATAGTACTGTTCATATTTTCTTTTCTCAAAAGACATCCCTCTTCCGTCTGTCTCCTCATCCCTCTATTCCTTCCTTTTGAATTTCTAGTGGATTTGCTGTTTATATCTTTAAACCTCATTCCCATATACCATATATCCTTTTTTGTTTTTCATTTTTCATAGCTGCCTTCTAGAAGATGCATTCACCTCTGCCTTCCAATTGACTAAACACCTCCATTGTGCCTAATATAGTGTTAATATGTATGTACATTCTGCTTTTGAAGTAGTATAATTTTTAACTTTTTGAAATGTCCATTCACTTTCAAACATCAACTTTTTCAAAATCTTATTTTTCATTGTGGATTCTATTTTTAATTAACTCATTTTCCACATAGTCATTTTGTAGTTTCTTGTGGATTATAGTATCTTTTAAAGTGAGGTGAGCATCCTACTTGCTATATATGTTATCTTACTTTACAGAAACATATCTTGTATGGCTTGTAATTCTTGGAAAATGTTCTATCTTTCAGAGATTTTTTTCCTTGTTATGTGTTTGCCTAAATGTATGTCTGTGTACCGCATGTGTGCAGTGCCTTCAGAGGCCAGAAGAAGGCATTTTATCTCCTGGGACTGTGTTTACAAATAGCCATGAACCTCCGTGAAGTGCCGGGACTAGAATCTGGGTCCTCCCAAAGAGCAGCCAGTGCTCTTAATCACTGATCCATTTTTCCAGCTCCATGTTCATATTTTTCTTTAAAGAAATAAAAACAAAAAACACGCAAGAAGACCTGTGTGCTATGTTATACAAGTATCCTTGATTTGTTTTATTTCTGTTGTTGTCAGGGACCTAACAAATTCATTGATGCTCAGAATTCCTGTGCCATCAGATTCCCCTACCACCTGACTGTGGCACAGGCCTGAGGTTTCCGTTTCTTGTGTATCTTTCATCTATTCTATGGCAGCCTACCTATAGTCAACTGACAGGATTCCCTAAACTGTAGGGATTAGTTAGTTATTTTAGCTACCTCCTCCTCTGACTGAGAGGCTTGTCCAGAGTTCATATTTCAAGATGGGGATGGCAATCTATTACTTATCACTCACCCACACATACTTTTTTCCTTAAAAGAGTCCACCATTCCTGGATTCCCACTAACACAGCCCTAAAGCTGTGTCTGAGTCTGTGTCATCTCCCTCATCTTTAATTTTAAGGTTTTCTTAGCAACTGTGAATATCCCTTCCTTTCTCTTTCTCAGTCACTGGTTTATGTTCTCTCTCTTTCCCTCTCTCCTTTCTCCCCCTCAAAATACTTTATAGCATTTCTCTGTGTTTGGAATAGAAAAAGACTATATCATTTTAGCCTAATATGTTCTTACATTCTTAGCTGTATAAGAAAACCAGGGTCTGGGTAATGAACTCAATAGCAATTTTATCTAGGTTTGGGAGATCAAGTAATATATTCTGGACAAAATTTCCTTTAGACTTTTCTAACTCCCTTCCTAAGAACAATCATAGCACATTAAAAGGAGGCCCTGTATCAATTGCCTTTTCTACTTAAACAGTTACCTTAAACTAATCAATATACCTCCTGAGGCCTAATTATATCATTTATAAGAGAGAAGAAAATTACATAGCTCTTGACTTTTGTACAATTTTCTGCCTCCCCTTTTATCTTTGGCTGACCCTTCATTTCTGACCCCACTCGGGGCTAAGTAGGCTCATGTTATCACCTTTTGTCCTGTGCATTTTTCTCTCTGTCTTATTAATGTGGCTAAAATCTAGTACATTTTTAGGATATGTGTACCTATGATAATCTTGGTTTCATTCCCATCCCAGGGGAAGTATATCACATTAAGTACAGTGTTTGTATAGGAATTATATTTGTATATGGTATTGGGGATTTGACCCAGAGCTTTGTGCACACTGAGAAAGCACTTTACCACTGGCCGTATCCCCAGCCCAGATATAGAATGTTCTGTACATATATATTACTTTAAAAGTACCCTGTACTAGTTTATTGATGAGAGTTTTTATCCTGAATGGTTGTTGAATTCTATTCATTCTGTCTTCATAATAATCATTATTTCCCTGCTTTATTCTATTTATTAATTTTTAAACACTAAACACACCTTGCCATCCTGAACTAAATCCAAACTACCACCACCACCCATGTGCCTTTACCTTTATTTTTATTTGTACAGGTGTTTTACCTGTATGTTGCTGCTATGTACCATGTGTTTGCAGTACCCTCAGAGGCCAGAAGAGGGTGTAGGATCCTCTGTAACTGAGTTACAGACTTCTGTCAGCTACTGGGTGGGTGCTGAAAACCGAACCCAGGTCCTCTGAAAAAGTAGCCATGAGTCCCTAAACCCTGAGCCATCTCTCCAGCCCTACCCTCTTCAAGCTTGTCTTGACATGTTAGTTTAGATCAATTTTATGGTATCTAGACTCAGTTATCTAGTATGTTTTTCAGATATTTGCACCTAAATTCATGAAACATACTAGCCTATTTACTTTTTTCCAATTTCATTGTGGGGTTTTGGTACTGTGCTAACCTATTCTTCAAAAGAACTTTGTAAAATTGATGCTATTTATCCTTTGAATTTACAAGTGAAACTGTGATGTTCTACGTGGGAAGTTTTTAAGTTTAGTAAAGAGAACAATTGTATTTCTTCTCCTGTTGATTTTTGGAGTTTTGTGTTTGAAAAAGAATTTGTTCATATCAAGCAAATTGTAAAAGTTATTACTCTGTCTTAGTTTCTTTCAGTAAGATAATTGAATAATACAATCATTACTGAAAATCCTATAAATTGTTTTCTGTTTTTTTTTTTTAACTCTGATGAGTACTTTATATAGCCTTTACTTTTTAAATGTATATGTATTTATGGAGGCATATGTAGTGTGGCACACATGCGGTGATCAGAGGGTGACTTGCAGGAGTT